GCTCCGGAATTGCGGGCCGTGGGGGGAGCCAGGCACAGGCAGCCCCTTGGCCTGATGTGGTGTGATGCGGCTGGGCGGTGGTGGCTTTTGACACCAGGCTGTCACTGGGGGCTCACCCCAGCTCCTGAGCCCTGTGGATCCCCCCCCCTCCCAACTGAATTTGGGAAGCCAGGAGCGGGGGGCTGCAGCCCTGTGCCCACCCCACCGCCGGCCATGGTGGGTGGGAGCCCGAGGAGGGGGGGGTCCCAGCAGACCTGCGTGGTGCTGCCTTTATGCACACCCTGCACCCGGCATGGCACCCTGTCCCCAGGGGAGGTGACAAGGACCCCGGGGAGCAGGAGAGACCGGCCGGGCTCGCCCACCATGGAGAAGCGAAGGGGCTGTGGCTGCTCCCTCTGAAGACGACAGCAGGGGAAGCACAAGGGAGAGAAAAACAATTTAAGTTGCCATACAACATTGACACAAGAGCCAAGTATAAACTGCCCCTGAATAAAGCAGGACCGGGAATGACAGGATTTTTCACTGCTGGGGGAGGTGAATTATCGGGAATTATCCCCTGGCTGAGGGATGGAGGGTGCTCAGCTCAGCCCCAGGGCATGCCGGGTGTCTCCAACCCCTGAGCTTTCCTCCTTTTCCCCTGGCTTAACCTCAGTGGGGACAAGGGGAGCCCCAAATTCCCCATCTCCATCCCTAGCACTGAGCCAAGCCCCTGGAGAGCCGGAGCTGTTGGACTGCGGGTCCTTCAGCCTCTCCCCATCGCCCCTCGACGCCTGCTGCCGTATCCCCTCTCCAGCACTCAGCTTGGCTGAGAAGCGGAGGGAAATCTTTATTCCCTTTGCAATAAACAGCACCAACCCTTCGGGCTGCCACCAGGTCCCTAAGCCCAAGGTGAAGCGAAGCCTCGGGGGCCGGCATACATCCTGCACCGCCTGCGCCGCAGCACCCAGCCGGGCTGCGCCTGCTCTTCAGCCCTGGGCCGTATCCCCTCTCCAGCACTCAGCTTGGCTGAGAAGCGGAGGGAAATCTTTATTCCCTTTGCAATAAACAGCACCAACCCTTCGGGCTGCCACCAGGTCCCTAAGCCCAAGGTGAAGCGAAGCCTCGGGG